TATTAGTAGTTTTATCTTTAATATTACTGAAACACTAACCAAAGTATATACATTCCTTCACTGCATCTAATCGTTGGGATTTAGGAATCCAACATGGTGCAATCAATTGCAAACTAAATTGTGCCTTAATGGTAATATTTAGGAGATGGTAAAAATGACGACAAACAAGCCCTTTACTTTGTTGCAAAAGACAAGTACAGCTATATGAGCTATCTGAAAGAAGAAATATAAAATAGGTAACCCCTTGACTTGTAACTCTTGATATTTTCCAAATCTTCACAATTGAGGTACGTTCTAAATATTCTAAAAGATACATAGCACACAAAACAATAGCATCAGGCTTGTCATCTATATCTTTACTTTGTGAAGATTCGTAAGAGGTAAGTGATTCGATTTTTTTAACTGTAGCATGGCTAGCAGTATAATATAAACTTTCCTTCATTTGTTCAACCAAAAAGTGTGCAACATTTGGTCTCAGTTAACATTTAACTAAAGATTTAATAGAAGGAAAAATAGTAGTTGCATTTGTCATAGAAGGAACACCTCTTTTCCATTTCTCAAATTACTTTCTTTTTTGTTCTTCTTTGCTACGTTCTATTAATACTTTACCAAAATTGCATAGTGACGTGTTGCTATTCTTCAACACCTGCTTGATGCATGTATTCTGACTTTCAACAAATGATGTAGTTTGAATGCCGAGTGTGAATATTATGGCAGTAAAGGCACATGCCCATGAAAAGCGTCTATTATAGAGATGGTGCTCAAGGTATAATTTTGTAGCAGAAAAGCCTATAAGCTGGTTCCAATAGTATTTGAAGACATGTGATGTAGCTGCATTTCGGCATTGCCAAAACTTGCAATAAAATTCATCAAATTGATCTCCCAACTTTCTTTGTAATATTTTTTTGATGTTTTCCTTGATATGCCAGATGCAAAAGAGGTGTTGCGTCTTTTGATACTCTAAAATTATTGCATGTTCTATTGCTAGATCGCCATCAGTCACAAATACACAAGGACATCTATTATTTGTTGCTTTTTTGGTCATTTTAAGGACCTATTGGTATGTTTCAGTTGTCTCATTGCAGACAAAAGCCTGGGAAACAATACGAGACTGCATGTTATCATCTTGTACTACAAATAAAGAAAGAGGCATATTGTATCTGTTAGTACCCATGGTATTATCGTGCCCAACTGCCTCATTAAATTCACACCATAACATAATTTGTTCAGGACTCATCCAGAACAAATTAATCAAAGTATTAGTTTCCTCTTCCCACATAACCTCAACA